AAAGGTTCATGAGTTGTTAGAACAGAGATGGCCAATCCTGGTCCTGGAGAGCTACAGGAGGTGCTGGTTTTTGTACTCAACAACCTGCTTAGACTAAAGAAACTAGGCAAGGTGAATTAACTGTGGTTAGCTGCTTTAAAAGGGACAGATCGCCCTCAAATCAAGAGTACTTGTTTACCCTCATGCCCGTGGCACCATTTATCCATATAGATTGTTTTGGTGTGAATTGCTGAGTTTTGGAGATATCAGGTGTCTGCCTTCTCTGGAATATAACAGAACTGAAGTGCAATCGAGTTGGGATGCTCAAAAAAAAAAAAAAAAAAAAAAACCACTTGAAAAATTCTTTCTTTTTCCGGAAATCATGATGTGGTTACTCAAAGCCAAGGACAGAGCATAATGTGAGCAGTTTAATAGAGGAACTATTTCTTTCTACCAAATTACACCAGTGGTTGGTGAAAGGAAGAATATCTTTCTGTGATTTTTGGGGCTAACTGTCTCTGTAATTGATCAGTAAAGCGCTTGGTAACAAGAAATACTAGGACTAGGGACGGCCATCCTTGTGTTAACATTGTTGTGTGGATTTGATTCGTTCCAGGTATGGATGCACCAGTCCGACTTTTTAGACCAAGTACCAATGTGACTACTCACCTTTGGGTACTTGCCGATACGGGGTACCAAACCAACGACTTCAATTTTTAAAAAACTACCAGAAAATACTAGTTTTGCTTACACTGGTCGAAACGTCTACATTTTAAATGCTTGATTAGATAGCTAATGTTGAACGACTTGGCTTTCGTCCCTCTTGGCAGAGCAAATTTTTCATTCTGCCTCATATTTATTTACCTCACTCAATTAATAAAACTTCCACACTACCAAAATTTTTATCCTCATTTTTTAAATCTTAGTTTTTCGTGTTTAGTGGTTGTACGCACATAACGGTGCAATAAGCTGATTACATTTGTTAGCAAGGTTTATTCAAATCGTATAAGCTGGCTATTCTCACAGTTAGCACGGTCCGAAAACTGATTGCAGCACTTGAATCAGCATGAATTGTATGTTACACTTTTGCCGCTCACTTGGTGGCATAACATTAAAAACATTGGTATCGGTTTGGGTTTTTTTACGAGTACAGTACATAAGTGCAGTATCGGTGCTCAATCCTGATACCATTTCCATGCGGAAGGGTGCTGCGATCAAAGAGTGCTGTTGGGTGATCAGGACTGGCTCAAAGTTGACTTATAAAATAATTCCAATGGTGTTTTATGGGATTGAGATGAGGCCAGTTAAGTTTGACAACATTGATTTCCACAAAATCTCAAAGGGCAGCATTGCAGTAAAGTAGTCACATAACATCAGAATTTATGAAATTTGCTGGGAATACAGAATTATCTTATATTCTACTGTATGCAGAAGGATCTTTTTTTTCCCCTGTAGTGCTAAGAACTACAAACCAAAAACAGCCCCAGATCAGGGAGTGTCCAGATGCTCGTGACCACGATTGTCCATTGCTGTTTTGTGTTCGTTTTGCGATTCTCTGTGAGCTGGTGCTTGCATATGGCTGTCGGGGATGCCATTTCACCGGAAGGTCTGTCTCGTCAATAATGTAGAAGATTTTCTTCACAGTCTGGGAAAGGGTATAGTTTAGCGCACATTAGTGCAGCATGTGGCTTCTAATTTAATGCTTTAACATGTAGCTTTTTACTTTTTACCTGGCTGTTTCGACTGCATTTAAACCTTTATGCAGTCCCTTGGCTGTACGATGGAGCCTAACACAGCCGGCTGAGAGCTTCGTTCCGCATGTTCGTGTTGAAGTGTGACAGCCTGTATTTATACGGAGCTTGGGTCCTGTCTCGGTTAACGTGACTTAGCCTAGCGTCCTCCCTCGCGTTGTTTTTGCATTAATCTTTCAGGGCCTTGTCAGCGGTGCTTATCCACCTGAGTGAAAGCAGGGAGAACATGTAGTTCACCTGGGGGGGATTTCCCCTTCGGCAAAGAGGCTCATGTTATAGAATCCATTAGCATTTCATTAGCATAGCAGTCAGACTATGGTACGACTGAGTGTGAAGAGATGAGTCTTTAGTTGGTAATTAGAACTGTCACACTCACATGCACACACACATCTTACATACGCACTCATTCTCTCCTACCTTTGGGGGCGTGCACACATGAATACACATTGACACACGCACAATTTTATTGTATATGCATGTGCGCTGCTAATTGTTTGTGTAAGCGTGTGACTGAGTGTGTTTTTGTTTGTATTTGTGTCACTGTGTTTGTGTGCATTTGTCATGTGCGCTAGTATTTGTATGCTTGAGGGAGTGTAGGTGTGCATGACTGAGTGTGTGTGTGTATGTGTCTGAGTGGTTGTATATATGTGTGTGACTGAGTGTTTGTGTCTGTGTGTTACTCTGTGTGTGTGTGTGTGTGTGTTTATATACAACGTATGTACGTGCGTGAAAGAGTGCATACGCGCATTTGTGCATGTGTGATTGAGTATGTTTGTCTGCCTGTGTGTGGCTTTGCGTGCGTGTGAGTGTAAATGCGTGTGACTGAGTGTGCGTGTGTGTATGAGCTTGTATGCCCGTGTGTGTATGTACAGTATGTGAGAGAGTGCATGGGTTTGTCACTGAGTCCCATCGGGAGACTGGTCCTTTGGGGAAAGTAGAACGGGTGAATTATCCTCACAGTCTAGATGCTTTTATTACTCTCTGTGTGTGAGCAAGTAACGCATCTGCACCTATGTGCATTTAAAACAGGTCATGAATTCCTTCCATCCCTCCCTCCCTCTCTCTCCCTCTACCTCTCTCTCCCCCTCTCCATTTACACTCTCTCTTTTATATCTCTTCTCAGTAGCAGCTCACTCGTGCCTGTATCTCTGCTGTAACTATAACTGAGGGCGAGATGGAGAGAAATAAAGGGATAGAGCGATAGAGAGAGACAGATAAAGATGGAGGTGTATATGGAGAGAGTGAAGGAGAAGAGCAGAGTCATTAGGGGAATATACTGTACAAACAGAAAAAAGATGAAGGGATGGACAGATAGCAATAGAGAGAGACAGATAAAGAAGGAGGTATATTGAGAGAGAGTGAAGGAGAGGAGCAGAGTCATTAGGAAAATATATACAGACAGGAGAAAGATGAAGGGATGAAAAGATGCAGGGGGAGATGAGAGAGGACTGAGGAATGTAGACAGGCAGATGGACTGCAAAAGAAGGATGGATTGTGTGTAAACCATGAGGGGGAAGAGAGATGGATCTACAGAGAGAATATGGAGAAGAGATATGAGGAGTAGAGAGACCGATGGAGTGAGGAGGGATTGGGAGAGAGGAATAGAGTGGGAGAGAGCGGGATGGAGAGAGGGATGGAGTGGGAGAGAGATGGAGAGGATAGTGAGATAGAGTCAGATATAGAGAAGAACTAAGGATGAAAAAAGATATAGGGTGGGAGAGGGTGATGGAGATAGGGGGATTGAGAGAGAGAGATAGAGAGAGAGAGAGAGTGAGAGAGCAGGGCCGGAGCAGATTTAGGCTGTGGTTTGTCGGTCACTAGAGCGGGTAATTCCAGTTTTATTGGATTTCTCTCAAGATGAGCCACTAGGCCTCCGATAAGGCAGCAGGGCTCAATCGTGCCAAAATGAAACTGGTATTTCTGTGAGTGTGTGTGTGTGTGTGTGTGTGTGTGTGTGTGTGCTCATCCCTGTTTTCAATAAGCAAAAACATTATCTAAATAAAGGGATATAAACTGGCCCTTATTTGGCTGAGCTGAGTTTAAATGCTCAGAGGCCGCAAACTGTCTTGCGCCAGTCCCGGAGCGCTCATCAGTCCATTCCCCGGAGACGAGCGCTGATGCGTGTCATGAGACGTCCGTCTCCGCGGTAATAATGACCCCCGGAATCGCTGGACTTCTTAGTCTGCAAAGAGCACAGAGGGAGACAGACAGGGGAAGAGAGGAAAGAGAAAGAGAGAGAGAGAGAGAGGGAGGAGAATGAGGAAGGAGGGAGCTGTCATTCCATCATACCTGACAGACTGGAGAAGAGGCAGCTTATTCGGGAGGTAATCTGTGTTAGAGGAGTATTAATTAAAGCACCCAATCTTAATGAGCAGGGGTGAGATTCTGATACTGATATCTGAAGGGTGTATCTGGCATCTTACAGGCAGGCTGGTCCGGTGTAACGAACCGGATAATAAAATAGTGCAATGCTAATGCTTCTGTCTGGTGCGTAAATAACCTCCTCTGCCCCTTCTGCCAATCACATCTGGGACCTCAAATCTGTAAGGGGTGTATTCAGGTGAGCAGATATTCCTCTACTGTACCTGGAGCGAGGGCACGTACTGAGCCTAATCACCTCAGGAGCTGTGCGTGCGTGTGTGTGTGTGTCTGCGCGTTTGCAGGTGAGCACATGTGTGCGTCTTCTTTTGGTTTTAATGGTGTCTGAAAAATCAATATTTCTGCCACTTATTCTGGTTTGCTTCTTCATGTTATATAATGTTCCTGAATGTCCGATTGATTGATTGATTGATTATTTGATTGACCTCCCTGTCATGAGCAAGGCCCTGCAGACATGCGCTCTGGTTGCGCACCAGTGCACAGGGTGTGGGACTGACGCTCGTCAGAGCAGATAAAATCTCTTGCGGGGTGAAGGATGTCAGGTTGGGGAGGTAACATCCAAACTGAACCCCTGAGGCTCAGACACACCTGTTTTATGAGACCCGTTGAATATTTTTGTGCGTTTTATGAACTCACGTTTACTTTCTGCTGACTGTTCCCACATCTGTAATCACTCCTTGGAAATATTTTAACTGTTTCTAGAGTTTTTTTGAAGCTTTTTAATTTTTTTTTCAAAATTCTAAGTCTGCAATCTAGAGCTTTGTTGTTTGTAATCAAAGCCTGTAGAAACTTGATCTCAAATTTTAAAAATTAATATGGAATATTAGAGATAACTAATGTTAATCATTTTCCAAAATGTTGGTTGTTGGTCAAAAACATCTCATTTGGTGCGCCCTGGTGGCTCATCGGTCTAAGCGCGCACACCAGTAAGGTGGTGACCTGGGTTCGATTCCAGCTTGGGGCATTTGCCACATGTCTTCCCCATTCTTCTCCCCAACCTTCCTGTCTATCTCCACTGTATAACTATCAAATAAAGAAAAAATACTCTTAAAAAAAAAAAAAAAAACATCTCATTTTGCTTCTTAGATCAATATGTCAGGACTGAGGGGCTGTGATTAAATCATTCCTGATTGACATCCTCTCTGCCAGTCACGTCTCTCACATATTCTCTCATTTCCACTACCAATGGGAAGACGGAACATGCAGGCAGAATCTGCATGGCTTGGCTGGATCTGTATGTACCATAGGCTGTATATAGACTGAATGTACAGTCTGGGGTATAAACCCTCCGAACATTTCCTGAAATGGACCAGTACTCACCAGTGATGTACTGATGCTTCTTATTTTTTGCACACATGAGTAGGCTACCCTTACTTCTTATTGAGTACTGTTACCTTACCTTGTAGTGAGTGTAGCACGCTCCTGTTAACACCCACTTAACTGTGTCTCTGTAAATATATAGATGACTTAAGGCCTTGACACACCGCATGCGTAACGAATAAACAACACGAAAATACGAAATGTTCGGATGCAAAATGTTCGGATCAAAACTCTTCACACTGGCTCCAACACGAATTTGGGACAGAAACTCGGGAAAACAAATTTACGAAGTTTTGATAGCTCACTCCGAAGAGGAAAAATAGGGCAGAGGAAGAACAGGAAAGAAGAGGAAAAATGGACTCATCCTCTAGTGACGAAGATCTTTTCCTCGTCCTTCTTTCTAAGCAAAAAGGAGGTTTTGGGTTGACCCTCTGTTACAAAGTAGGGATAGAGAAGGAAAGTTTCACATCTTAAAAGAGGCGTTTTCTTTCACAGATAAGTGATGAAGTAAAATATCAGTATATCTTTATAATTTCTGCGCTTGTGAAATTGCACAGATCTTTCTAAATTGGTTTGCGAGGCTCATTGAGCAATCCCCGAGAATCTGTTACTATTCTGCATGTTGTCATGGCTGAAGGGCGTTGTTAGGCACGTTGCACAGCTGAGTGACAATTGTAAGGAAGGCGAAAATAATTGCAGCGAAGTCAGCGAAAGTTTTGGATTTTTGTATCTATAGTATTGCCATCATTACATTGCCATATCAATGTTATAAATGTAGGCAATAGACATTCACTTTTTCATTATCAGTTCTTAATATAGGTCATGCTTTGGCCTTAGTCGTTCGGGCAATAAATTGTTTGTCAATAAGGCGACAGCCTGAGAGCATCGAGCGGTAAAGCGTGAGGTTACAGAAAGCCCTCTGAACACCTGACGGCACGCCGCTGACCGAGAGGCTATTGAGCCGGAGGAACATCTAGCAGTCTGTCTGAGGTAGGCAAGTTCTTCAAATATGATTGGTTGATGTGTTTGCTCGCAGTGCGAATGTTCGCAAAAATCGAACTCGATTCGAAAAATAAAAGTTTCGCTTTTTCGCAGCGTGATAATCGCATTCTTTATGTAAAACCTCATGCCCAATCAGCAGTTCGAAATATTTTTTTTTCCTGCGAATTATTCGCAGGAAAAAAACGCATCTGGTGTGTCAAGGCCTTAAGAATCAGACAATTTGCTTGCCACCATTAGCTAAGTAGCAAGCAAATGAACTATCCTGGTTGGAGGCTAGATTTTGGTTAGTTTCATAGCTCAAAAGCAGCAATAAACAACACGAAAAGCATGGAGTGAAGTCATAGTGATTTTAAGTTGCAGAGCTTCATTTTCACTGTTCTGTACTATATAAATTTAGCTTTATCAATTATCTCCACAATTAACAAATGGCTCAATCATAGGGTACATAGCAAGACAAACAAGCCAGGCAAAACGTTAGCTATGCTAACTAGAAAGTTGTACTTCATATTAAATGAATTTGATTTTGAAATGAGCTAAATTTGGCAAATGAGCTTAGCTACATGTTCAGACTTCAGGCTTGAACCAGCAGTGCTGTCTGATGTCGAGAGAGTGAGACACTAAACTGAAAGGAAAGTAGCAATCGCTCCATCTATCAAAATGAGCCACTGGGCGAAATCAAGAGCTTTTTGCCTGAATTTTTTTAGTTGCTCTTGGGGAAATGGGCACTGCATTCAAGCCAGCAAGCTGACAAATAAAAAGCAGGATGAAGTCCCTCAGACAGAGGGAGAATAGCACGATGTAGTGATTTTATATAGAGATAGCAAGCGCACTCCTAAATTATGATCGGTAGGACACTGTAGGAGATTGCAGATGTCAGCAATCTCCTCAGAAAGTCCCACCCCCTTTACTCCGGCTGTCGAGAATGGATATACATTTACAACAGGTTTATTAGAAGATTGGAGTGAAATTTGTTATTCATATTTAACATGCAAGGTCTATAAGCATGTTACATATTTACAAGGAAATTACGGAATAGCCTTTCCAGGGGTTTTAATAACAGTATCTGTAACATTGTCATCACATATGTACTTGCCTATAACCGCATACCTTAAAGAGTCAGCGTAAATATACGTACATACCAAAGCATGCGGTAATTACTTTATAGGATAATCACTGAATACGATGCTTCTCATTTTTGTGTTTAAGTTTTCTATTAATTATTCATGTGTTAGGCTACGAATGACTGCTACGTCAGCTTTGGACAGTTCAGCTGGGAATATTCTGATCACACATTTGCGACCTCACAACTCAATAGGATCAGCATAACTATAAGTACCAAAAACGTGTAACACGGCGCGCAATAATTATCTGTGACTGTAATCACCGCGGCATGTTCATGTTTTAAATGCTGTCCCAGCAAGCTCTGGGGCAGGTGGTAGCTTAAGAGCTGCGTACGCTCTCCTCCTGAATCTGTGTTTCTTGCTACAGTCGACCCAGAGCAATTATGTGTGCTCAATATTTCATCAGTCGCATAATTAAGCCAGGCGGGACCCGGCGCCTCGGCTGCGCGCAGAGCCGTGGTCTGTTTTTCCCTGACCGTGGTCGATACTGATCACAGAGGGAAACTGTTACCTCGCCGCTCGGGACGACTGGCGGAGTTATTCTGCCCGGTGTTGACACTTTATTTAACGTACTTGGGTGTGTGTTTTTGGAGCCCAAGGGACGGGGGTTTTAATATAATGTTGGAATGTGGAGAGATGTTAGATGATGAGTGTGTGCGCTGGACCTTGGATGTGCACACGCACACACGCACACACACACACACACACACACACACACATGGGTGCACGCTCAAATACAAGCTCAAATACACATACATACCCATTCAAACACAAATACACACACATACACACTTGCACACACACACACACACACACATAAGTGTGCACTCACACGGAAGCTCAAATACACACACACACACACACACACACACACACATTCAAACACAAATACACATTTACACACACGCATACACATAGTCACACACACACACACACATGCACAGACAAGTACACTCTCACACACAAGCTCAAATACACTTACACAAACACTCAAATACCAATACATGCTCACAAACACATACACTCACTCACACACATGCATCTCCACTCACACTAGCTCAAATACACATACACATTCAATCTCAGATACAAACTTACACATGTATACACTCATGCACATACACAAGCACACACACACAGAGACACACGCATGCATAGACCCTCACTCACACAACGTACACACATATGCGCAACACTCACACACACAAGCTATCCGCGTGCTATACCCATGCTCTCCTTGCTTAATCTTTTAAAGGCTGCCAATCAGGTCACCAGGTGCACAGCCAGATAGCCAGTACAAATCATTTCAAAATCTGTTCCCTTGTGACATCACATGGGTAAATGTTTGACTGGAGGCAAAAATGACCGATTAACTTCTGCCAACCAGTTAATCAGTTCCTTCATTTCCATGTGGTCTCTCCCTCTTGTGATGTCACAAAGGACAGGTGTGAAATGGTTTGTAAGGGCTAATTGGCTTTGTACCTTGTGACATGATAGGGGACCTTTAAATCACATTCCACTGAGTGTGTCAGATATTGGGGTCCCGGTGGTACTGGATGAGAGAGAGAAGCTCAGAGCACTCTGACTATACTGAATCCTGCTCTAACCCCCCTCTACCCCCTCCCCACCCACCACCCTCTGCCCCTCGAGCCGGGCCACCCTCCAGACCTGCTGCACATGAATCTGCTGCATTAAAATTAAAAGAGCCTCTCGTTATCGCCCCGGGCTGACAGTGCGAGCGAAGAGAGAGGAGGAGAAAAGGACAGAGAGTTACAGAGGAGGAGGGAGGGAGGGAGTGAGAGATGACTGTTGGGAGAGCAGTAGGGATAAAGATAGAGGAAAAAGAGCGAGAGAGTGCATGTATGAGAAGGATGCAGAGGATGTGAGAGGGGGAGAGAAATGGACAGAGCGGTGGCGAGTGCGGGGTGAAATAGGGAGAGATTTAGGACTGGAGAGGGTGTGAGAGGATGAGAAAGAAAGTGTGAAACATGACTCTGTGAAGTAGTACAGTTTTACAGGTGGAGGTGAAGACATTAGCAGGTGGAGAAGTGAGATGGATGTAATCAGTGTGCCGGCGATGTTGGTAGAGTCTGACTGATTTACGCACTGTTCTCCCCTCTCCTGCCCTACAGCTCACCCTGCTCTCATATCTTAGGGCACCAAATGTTATATACAAATAGCTAGTTCCCACTATTGGATCAACTCAGGGTCTGTATGGCTGAAAACTCTTAACAAGCTCAAACTGCTCCCAGATTAGGACTCCGCCTGTACCTGTAACACTGTTAGTTTGTCGATTTGCGGAACGCAGATGATTGGGGAGGAAACTAGTTGGGCTGTCCCCGACTAAAACACATCTTAGTTTACCAACAGTGCACCGTTTTTTTAGGATTCCTCGATTGGTTGAAATTTTTAAAGTCCGTTCAGAGCCCCTCTTCAGGCTGCCCTTGCAGTTTCTGCCCTTGCGCTTGAGAAGTTGATGTACAACCACATAATAGGCTGATGCTTTTATTTGACCAAACCA